CATCCTATGTTTGCTTGGATGTGGTTTCACTAGCAACCTTTTGTAACATGGCATCATCCAAGCATTGATGTATAAGTGAAAGAGCTTTTGTGATCTTTCTTCTTTGTAGCTTGCAAGACTTCCTTTTGGGCTTGACTTAAGGAAGCTTAATCTTGCGGTGTCATATAACCAACTGTTGCAATCTCTGATAAATCTTGAGATCCAAGAGTTGCCTTCATGTGGATACAACATTTCTCATACTTATCTTATGCAAATTGAGACATTTGAAATGGAAGCATTCCATTCAACATCTATCTCTCACTCTTTTTTTCGACACTCAAGCCTAGCTTTGATACCACTTTGTTGGAATCTAGATGACTATCTCATACTCACAAAAAATATAATGGAAGAGACCATTGAAGATAAAAATAAGTTTTTCAATTCACTCATACTCAAATGGGTGTATTACATATGATATATATAGACTCTCATATATAATACATGACATACCGATGATGTTCTTAACAGGATTCAGCAGTGATGAGAATATAAAGGGCACTGAACAGTTAAGTTTCGTTCAATATGAGCTCCAAGGCTCTTGGGAATAGGATATGGGAATAGGTTGGTGATCACATAGTGTTTATAGTGGTTCACCAACTTGGGAGCTCTGCTAATCTACTCTCAGGGGAGTCTCTTGCTCCTGAATATATTGATTACTATGGAGTTTACAAAAAGTATTTTAGTGAGGCTACAATGGCTTGTTGTTTCTATCAAGAGCTTTGCCTCCTATTTATAGTTACCCCCGAGTCTCGCTTGATCTGAGGCAAGATCCTTGCCCCTCCCTTGTAACAGTCATCTTTATTATGCAACGACAACAATGGATGTTGTGGGGGGGGGGGGGGTTATGAGACTTGCGTCTGTTGAGTAACTGTTGTTACAAAGGGGGTACTTGGTGGGATCCAGTTATCCTCTGCACGACCTTCCTCCAGATGTAGACACAAGTATTTTGAGGTATGAGGTTGAGTTCCGTAAATAACATAAAAGAGGTGAGCTTCCTAGTTAGTACATAAATTTAACATATTACTATGCTTTTTTAAGACTAATTATACTTTGATGGAGTTTAAATCATGACATTTCAGGTCCTAAAGTGAACAAGGACTCAAGGACAACAAATGTCACACTTGGATGTAACACCAGCATAGTGGGGGACAAAATTGGTGAAGCTTGGAATAAAGCAAGAACGTTCGAACGCCAACTCACGTTCAAACGTCCACTTGAACTATGAGAAGACCAGACTACTACCAGACTACTGAGACATGGCGTGTTCTAGCCAAGAAGGAAGACCCCGAGGTACTTGAGTACCACATTCGAACGACAAATCACGTTCGAACGTCAACTTGAATTGATTGAAGATTAGGAGGATGAGTGCAAAGTGCCAAGATGTGCATGGAGTGTGGAAATAGGTTTGCACAGAAGATAACAGACTACTTGAGTGAGAAGGTCAGGCCCCATCTAGAGTTTGAGCGCCCATAAAGCAAAGGCAAAAGAAAAGTTTGAACGCCAGAAAATATTCGAACGCCCATAAAGCAAAAATAGAAATCATGTTCAAATGCCAGATCACGTTCGAACGTTCTCCACAGACATGCTATAGAGTGGTTGATCTTCTCTCCGGACATTGGGACTTTCACTTGGACTTTGAATGCCTTGTACTATTCCTCCACACTACATTGCTCCCTCCTCCTTGCCTATAAATACTCCTATTATGGGAGCTTGAAGGGAGATAGAGTCTTGAGCTAGATGGAGGCTTAGACTCCCACTCATGTAGCTAGTCTTAGAGGTATGTTATATTTGCTTGTATCAAGGGAGTTAGTTCATCTTTTGGTTGAGGAAGCAACCCTCCATTTTTTGGTTGAGGAAGCAACCTTCTAAAAGTGACTAGCTTTCTTTTACTTTCATTGTTTATGTCTTTCACTTTCGTTGCTTTCTTAGAATAGTGAAACTCTTTCACTTTTCTAGAGCTTTACTAAAGCCGTGAAGGGTGAAACGTGATTCACTCATTCTTCATTAAAGATCAGCTATTTATTTTGTGTGTTTCACTTTGTAACTCCTCTACTTGGAGGGATGAGTATTACTCACTTTTCTAGCTTTACCAAAGTCATGAAGAGTGAGTAGTTCCCCATTCACTCTTTAGTAAAAGGTGATGAACATGTATTAATTATCTGAAAGTTATATTTGTACTTTTTCTTTACGCTTTAATGTTTTATATTTCGCATGCTTATTGAATGACTAATTGCATCTAGCAAAGCTAAGGTACTTTGTATAACCGTGGGTTTTTTCTATGTCACGGATGACTCTTGCATAGAAAGATTCGTTGGTTCAACGCAAGTACCTTGACTATTTCTTCAAGACAACATTTCAAATTTCAATCTTCACCATTATTGTGCTTTATCTAAAGAATGAAACATTAATGCCATGGTTGGATAGAAACACTTGCTTGTTTGTAGAAGCATTGAGTCTCGGCACAGACAATTCTTGTAAACTTCTAGAAAGGCATCGAAACCATGAGCTTAATTCTCATAGTCCATCTTTATCTTTTGATTAACTTGCTATTGACACGGGAGTTAATTGAGTTATAAAGCACAAGTATAATAAACCATATGATTAATTACATATTCTGATCCTTGAACTAAAGAATGACTATTACATTTGATAATTTATCTTATATTTTGTCTAGAAAAAAATTAATTGGAAAGAATCTTATACTCTATCCATCAAACCCCATAACTTCAAACTCTCAAGGTTTCCAGTTACTTAGTCTCTGTCACTGCTTACTTCAAAACACCAATCATAGTTCCCTGTGGATTCAACTCCGAACTTAATCAGATTATTACTATAGCTTGACCGCCTGCACTTGAGTGTACACATTTTGGATCAAGTCACTCCTGACCTAAGTGGCATGGCCAATGTTACCAAGCTTAACCTTAGGCATTTTTGTGGTACCATCAGTTGCCCCCTAGTCCCTGGTCAGGCGGAGTTGTATGAGCTGGGACTGAGCACTACCTTGGGTGAGTGAGTACTTTGGATAGACCTTGAGATGTGCATGATGGGATATGTTTTGACAGTTATGGCGAATGTGCAATCATTCCCTCTTCTTTTCTCATACACGCCCCTTACATTAAGGCCCCACTTGTCCGTCCGTATGCTTAGCCTTAAATAAATCATCAGATAACCACCTCTTTCATTATTTTGAACCCTTTTCATCTTCTTTCTCCTCAGATTCTTCTCTCTTTCCTTTTTCTCTTGCTCTCATCTTCCCTAATTCGCTGAAGATCTAGGGTTTTTCAGAAAAATTCTCAATCTTACTCTGAAGGTTCTGCAAGACTGACCTAATTCATTTAGGTTTTTCTTTGGTTCCTGGTTTGTTGATCATTCCCAGCTAGGTACATCCCTTGCTCTACTCCTAATTCTTCTCTTTTAAGCTTCCTTTTATTCTGGATCCCTTGAATTTGAGGTGGTTATTTAATTTTTGGACTTTTTGCGTTTGTTAGTTTAGGAATCGAGGACATTCTTGGTCATTTTTTCCCCTCTTCTTGGACCTTACTCTACTGCTAGAGTATTTCTCTTCGGTCGTTAGTGTCTCAACCCTTGGGGTCTTAGGGATTGTTTTACTCATGTTTCTCCCCTCTAGAGCTCTTTTAATCTTCCTTTTTCTTGTCCAACCATCTCTATTTCTTTCAAAGCCACTACTTCTTCTATCTCTCTTTCCATGGGTGACAGGTCTCTTGAACTAGAAAAGGATAAACTGGGGGATGTAGATGACAAAATAGATAACTTTCTTGGGGTCGATGTTGAGGAGAGGGCATATGTGCCTTTCTCTTTACTAGGGTCTTCCTCGAGTGCTAAGCGATCTCAAAAAAGAAAGGCTAAAAAGGGTAGAGGTGAGCCCTCAGGCAGTGTTGAGGGCTTTAAACCTGCTCGCGCTTCAGACCTAATAGGCCATAATGAGGTTACACCTTATTTCATGAATTTCCTCTCTACGAGGTTTGGCTTTCCCAAGGGCATGCATTATTGGTGCCCTTTTGTAGATATTAGGTATGATTTTGAGGTTCCTGAGAAGACCTATTTCTTCGTATCCTCTCTAGAGAATGGTCTTAGGTTCCCTATACACTCCATCAAATCTATTCTCCAGCCCTTCAATGTTTTCCATGCTTAGATCTCTCCCAACTTCTGTGGTGTCTTGATAGGCCTTCTCATCTTTTTTTAAAAAAATGAGCTCAATACCCCCTTTGGTTCTTTTGCTCATGAAACACTTCAACGTCAAGTTCCCTTCTGGTGGCTTTTTGTACATCTCCAAAATGGGCAAAGACCCCAACCTTGATCACTAACCTGTCGAGCTCTCACAAGAATTAGAAGAAATTATTCTTCTTGTGTTAGGGAAAGAATGGAAGTTTGTAAGTAATGCCACTAACACCCTTCCTCTTACTCGTTCTTGGTCAGGTCTTGACTACTTGGGTGAGTCCTTGTTTAGGGGAGGTTTTACTTGGCTCATTTTGTTTTTGTATTTTTCTTGCTGACCTTATCTCCTTGGGTTGTCTCAGGTATTCGTCCTTACCTTAGAGCTGAAGATAGGCTTGCCTTGCTAGCACTTGAGGATTATCGCCTGGAGAAGTACTCTAACTTGATCAAGCATTCTGTGCTTACCAAGTTTGGGTTCAGCCCTCCCGAGGTGAGAGTTGAGACTCTAATTTCCAGCTCTGTAGTTGATGCAGAAGACCCTACCGGTAAGATTCTTCCCGTTTTATCTCTAGTTTTTTTCTTTCTTTCTCTTTGTGTTAGCTGACCTATTTAGTTTCTTAGGTTCCAACTCGATAGCTCCTGCTGCTGAGGCTATGAGGGCTAAAATACCCTAGATGAGGAGTAACAAAGTTGTTGGAAAGTGCAAAGTTAGAGTCAGGTTTGAGCTTGATACTCCTTCAAAGGTGCAGAGAATAGAAGTGCCTCCACCTTCTCTTCCTTCCCAGGCGATCCCTTTACCTCCACTAACTCACAAAAGGTGGCATTGACCTCTACTTCTCAAGGGGTCTCCCCTCCTCTCATCGAGGGGTCTTCTGGATGTGTTGGAGCATCATCCTCTCCTTCGTCAATGGAGGTAGCAGGGGCTCTGGAGGCCAAGCTCCTCTCCTGCAAGGGTTTTCCTCTTCCTGGCCTGTTGAGAAGACTCCTCGCCTACGTGTGGAGGGTTTACCGATAAAGGTTGAGAAAGAAAGGGTTTCCTCATTAGGAACATGAGTCTTGCCACTGAGACTATTGCGTCAATCATTCCTGAGCCTGATATTCAAGAGGCATCAGTGATCCCTTTACACACCTCTACTACTATTGCTTTATACGCAACAAATTTAGTAAGTCCATATCTCTTTGTGTTTTTCTTCTACTTTGAGTAAATAATTTTTGCTAACCTTGACTTCTTCTTGTGCTTTTCTCAGTTGGACATTCACATAAATGCTTTGGTAAATCGATTTCAAGCTTTGGATAGGCCAGTTGAGTAGGCTCAGAAGTGTCTGAAGGCATCTGAGCGGGCCTTCATCAATGATGATCTCAAGGCCTAAGCATATGATTTGAAGGCTCGGGTTGAGGAGTTAGCCTCAGCAAATTAGAGCCTAGAGGTAGAGGCTAAGAAGGCAAAGGAGAAGCTTGAACTAAAGACTGCCATCTTGCCTCAAGCACAGAAGGATGCTTCTGAAGCCCTTGGCTTTCTCCATAATTTGAAGGAGTATATCATGATAGCCGAGGTCAGCTCCATATTGCTGGATGAGATCGAGGTGGAAAGAGCCAAGAATCAAAAAAAGAAAGCTCAGATTATAAAGCTCAAAGATGAGGCAGCTACGAACTAGGCTGTAGGATAGTTTGCCTTCCAGGAGCAGCTATGGAGAAGTATCCAAACCAAGATTTTGATTTTTACCCTCCTCTTGACAAGGAGAAGGAAAACTCAAGTGTTGAGAAGGAGGCAGAGGTCTCAGTTCCTACTACTCTTGGGGTGGAGGAGCCCATGGTTAGTGATTGCTTGGTCATTTTCCTTGTTGTTCCTTACCTCCTAGCATCACCTTCAAATATGTGTATAAGGGAGTGTCACTCTCCCTCGGAATGATGCAAGAGATGGGGCAACAGAATGGTGGATGAAATGGAATGAAATGAACAAAATATGTGTGTGAAATGAAATGCGTATGTGAACAAAAGTACTCCCCAAGCACGAGGAGTCTTTTGAGTGTTGTGTTTTACTTGGAAAGGTATTCCAATGTTGTCTCCTCAGGGAAGGAAAGTTCAAGTGTGTGAAAGTGATTTTGTGAACAAAAGAAAAAGTGTAAAATCTTGTATTTGGTTTTGATGAGTTTTGTTTTTAATGAAAATGCAAGAAAAACAAGTGTTGGCTAATCCAAAGAGGTCATTCCAATGAGAATCTCGACTGAACTTGAAACCTTTCTCCAATGGTGTATAGATGAACAATTGATTCGTGAGAAGCTAAGGACGAGATGGTGAGGATCCAAGCATAAATCATGACCAGACCTATAGAATATCAAAGACTCACAACCACATTCACTCTCAACCCAGTCAAATCGAACCATCATACACCAAGAGGAGGAAAGGAAATGAGTTGACATGGCATGGCCAAGAGGAGGTCTCTCTTGGATTAGCCAACTTAAAATCTAGCTACTTATGAAAGCAAGAAGGAAATGCATAATGTAAAGAGGCATAATATTGAAATGAAGATTAGAACTCAACTTAATGCAAGAAAACTTAAACTAAGAAGAAAATATGCAATAAACATTTTAAGAAAAATTTGAAGTGAAAAAACTCATACAACAATGGTAGATTCTAAGTTACACAACTAAACTTGCAATGAACTTGAAATAGCTAAGATTAAAGTGCAAGAAATAAAGATTACAAGATATTTAAAGCTTACTACAACTGAAATGGAAAGGAAAATGCCAAAATATAAATTTTACACTATTCATCATCTTCTTCATTGGATTTTTCTAAGCTTAGGTAGTCATACCCAATGTCTTGTGGAATGCTGAATATATGGAGTGTGAGTCTTGCATTTTCATCCATGAAGGGTCCCTCTAGCTGTGTGAAAGGCCTCCTACCAATAAGGGGCTGAATGGATGGGAAATGCAGGCTAGCACAGGCTTAGCCTGCATTCCCAGGCTTCACCCCTTCTCTCTCTCCTCATTGAATGCCAAGCCTCCAAAGTCTTCAATAAGGGTGTAGAAGGCATGTAAATGTGTAAGGGAAGTTAGGGGAAAGTGCGAGAATCAATGGTGGGACCCCCAAGCAAGTGGACCATGAAAAATAGGTGTTTTGGGCTATTTCGTCAGAGTGTACCGATATGCGTACCGGTACGCTGAGGCTCATGTAGTTTGGGGTACCCATACGCGTACCGGTACACTTCTACTCCAGATCAATTTTTGTAGAATCATCATACCTTTTGATCCAACAATTCGATTGTGCTAAAATTTTAAAACAATATAGAAGACATCCAGATATACAATGTTCATGTTTTGAACTTTTTCAGATTCGAAGTGGATCATGGTCAAAAAGGAGGAAAATCGAGGTACTACTACACAATGGTGTGGCTGTTGATGCCTATGTTACCAAACACCAATACCTCATTGATTTCTTTCACTTTTAAGCCTCCAAATCCTCATGTAATGTGTCCATCTCTTCACCACTCCTCCACACTTAGTTGCAAGGTTCTAAAATTCATCATTTAATCTATAATTACTTACAACATCAAAAATTCAACATTATTCATAATTTCGGCTAACTATAAGTACTTAGATGCAAAGATTGAGTTAGAATTCATGTAATGAAGCCATCAAATATGAAATATTATGTGCTCATCAGTGATGCTCATGTTGGTCCTGAGGTTCAGACCCCTAGGCTTGTTTCTTCTGAGCCAGAGGTAGAGAGCTCTAAGGTGACTCTACCCCCAATTGAAGTTGAAGTTCTTGCTTCTATTGTTACTAAGACTCTATCAACCTCTCCCTAATTGTTCCTCTGTTCCTAAGCCATTTGAAGCTTCTCTTCCTACTGCTCCTTCTGAGCTGTTTGAAGCCACTTTTGGGCCATCTGTATATATTTAGGGCTGCTGCATCTTTTGTGATAGTTTTTAAATAGAATTTTGATCGTGTTCTTAGTTCTTCTTCAGGGAATGAAAAAAAAAAATCTTGAAAGAATCTCCATTTTATATTCTGTTTATCTCCTTTTGCCCCTTGCTTCAAGGAGAACTCTGTTCTTTTGGAAGTGAATTTGGATTTTGCCATGTATGAGGTCTTCATTTTGTTTGCTGAACTTAGTTGTTTTCTAGGAGCTTGATTATGGTTGAGCGTGTCAAAGACCTTATCTTAGCACTAAATGAGGTGTTTATCCTGATCTTCATGAGCTGAAGAGCTCATCGTTGGCTTATGAGCTGAATAACTCATTGTTTATTTATAAGTTGAAAAGCTCATCATTTATTTATTAGCTGTGGAGCTCATTGAGAGTCTATAAGATGAAGAACTCATCGTTTATTTACGATCTGAAGAGCTCATCGTTTATTTATGAGTTGGGGAGCTTATTAAGAGTTTATGAGCTGAAGAGCTCATCATTTATTGATGAGCTAAAGAGATCATCATTTATTTATGAGCTAAGAGCTCATTGTTTATTTATGAACTGGGGAGCTCTTTATTTATTTATGTGCTGAGAAGCTCATCGAGTGCTTATACTAGCAATAGAATGTTGACTGAGCTAAAATTTGTCATTTTTGTTGATGATGAACTTTTACAAATGCTTCGGTTATTGAAATAATCTCTTCAAATGGTCATCATTCTAGGAATGAGGCAAGATCTTTCCTTCCTCTGTTTGTAGCTCGTAATTCCCAAGTCTGATTATATTGAAAATGATGTATGGGCTTTCCTCGTTGGGCCCTAACTTTCCATGGAAAGGATCCTTTTTTGGAGAGACGAGTTTTTTGAAGACTAGATCTCCAACTTTGAAGCTTCTGTGCCTGACCTTCTTGTCATAATATTGAGTTGTCTTTCTTTGATAACTTATGATGCGATACAAGGTTCTGTCTCTCTTCTCATCTAAGAGGTTGAGGTTAAGCAGAAGGGACTCATCATTATGCGCAGGTTTGGAGAGCTCTATCCTCAAGGATGGGGCGCCTAGATCTATAGGAGCTACTACCTCAATTCCGAATACCAAGGCAAATGACATCTCTTGAGTTGCTGACCTGGTTGTAGTTTTGTAAGCCCATAAAACCTCTGGAACGTGTTCCACCCATCGTCCCTTCAAGGCTTCGAGTTTGGTCTTCAGAACTGCCTTTATGGTTTAGATAGTTACTTTTGCTTGTCCATTCAACTAAACATGAGCTAGGGCTGAGAAGTAATTTGTTATGACCAGTTCGACACAAAACTTTTTGAATTTGGGGTTGTGGAATTGCTTCTCATTGTCTAAGACGATTGCCTTGGGTATTCCAAACCTAAAAATTAGGGATTTTCAGGTGAAGTTCTGAACCTTATGCTCTATATTGTTGCCAAGGGCTCTATCTCAGCCTATTTGGTGAAAAAGTCCACTCCAAAGATGGTGAATTTACACTGTCTAGTGCTAGTGGGAAAAGGTCCAAGTATGTCCAATATCCACTGTTGAAACGGCCAGGGGCTAATTACTGGGGTGAGGAGCTCTGGTGGACAGTGTGGGACATTGACATTCAGTTGACAAGTCTTACACCTTCTGACCAACTCTATTGCATCTTTGAGCAAGGTGGGCTAGAAATAACATTGCCTCTGTGTTTTTCCTGCCAGACCTCAAGTTCCGATGTGATTGCCACATATGCCTTCATAGATTTCCCTTAGGATGTATTCAGCTTCTTCGTTCCCTATACATTTGAGGAGAGGTGCTAAGAAGCCCCGTTTGTACAAATTTCCTTGTAAGAGGGTAAATCTTGATGATCTGGCTCTTAGTTTTGTAGCTTCTTTGGAATCTGTTGGTAATATTCCATTCAGAAGGTATTTCCTGATTGGATCAATCTAAGTTAACTGGACCAAACCAGGGAATACTCCTTCATCCTTGTGGCTTACTGATGGCTTAGCTAGGTGCTCAATTGGAATTAGTTTGTCCAGGTTCTCTTAAGAGGTTGTGGCTAGCCTGCTAAGGCGTCAGCTCAGGAATTCTCAAGTCTAGGGACATGCATGACCTTAACTTACATGAAATTTT